CATCCGGGGCCTGCGGCCGGAGCGCCGGACCTGCTGGCGCACCGACGGCCGGAGAGTCAGTTACTGCGTCATCAACACTAAGGAGGTGGGTGTCTGACGGAAGCCCGTTCAGTGCGATCCCCTCTGGAGAAGCGCCGCCAGCCACCGCTGTGAGGAGATCGCCTTCACACATCGGTGAATGGAAAGTCAGCCCGGGGGAAGGGTAAGCTGTGCAATGCCAGAGAGTCATGAGCTCAGAAGGAAGCTCACACAGCAAATGCCCAGGGCCCGGTGAGCCTCAGAGCCGCGGTGCGGGCCCGCAGGGGGCACAGCCGAGTGGCAGAGTTCTGAAGCAGGAAGGGAAACCTGTGACCAGGTGGCAACCCGGTCTCCAGTGGAGGCTTCCGGAAAGCGCCGGCTTCAGAGACACACTCCCTCGTGTGTTCTAAAACCGTGTGTCCCAGAGGCTCCCCTGGGACCCACCCTCGCGGCCGCAGAGCCCAGAGTGGGGTGGGCAACCACAGGGCTGCGTTTCTGGGAGGCTCTGAGGTCTGCTCTGCGCACGACCGGCTCCTAGGGACGGTCCCGACCAGGAGGAGGCTCCTTCCTTCCTCAGGAGACTCCCCACAACCTCCTCTGTCAGCCCCAGGGCCGTCCTGGGAGGGACAGCGCCAGGCTGGTTCCGATGGTGAAATGTGCACGGCTCGCAGAACACCAGGGGCTGGCTTAGAAAACCCCACAAAAGCTTCCAACTTGAACGTTACCAGGAGCTCAGGAAGACCCATCATTAACCCCACCCCCCCAACGTTTAAAATAAAACTGTGGCTCTGGAGAGCTGGGCCCGAGGGACAGGAAGGAGCCGGGTCACATGGCCACTGCCACGGCCCCCAGTGATGGGAAACCTGCTGCCATCTCCCCGCGGAGGAGCGGCCGGACGTTCACACCGGGTCCCCAAGCGCCCCCCCACCCCCCCGCCCCCCAGGACAGGCTGAGCTTTGCTGGGGGCCTCGGAGAACCGCCTCCTGTGGTTCTTGGCTCCGTGACCACGGGGAGCGGGACCCTTCGGATTCCAGGGACCCTGTCTAACAGCATGTCATGGTCAGAGAACGGACAACGTGGCCGCTGGACAAGTAAACAGACACCCTGGCTGGTGAGGACACCGTCTTGGGCAGAGTGCGTCCCCCGGGGAACACGCCTGCGTCATGCTGAGGGTCACGGCCGCACACAGAGCCCAGCGGCTGTGGGAGTGTGGAGGGAGGGGGTGAGGCCGTGGTGTTCCAGCTGGTTTTGAGTTACAACGGTGCCCGCTGGGTGGCAGCTCAGCCGGCTGCTGCCTGGCGTCTAAGAG